CCCCTCGTCCCCCCCCCTCCCCTAGTCAGCCCCCCCCCCCCCACCCTTCGTCGCTCCATCATACAATCACGGCCCCGACCCCCCGACCGACCGACCGACTGCCTAACGCGCATACCGAGCGACGTGCGACGATTGCGCCATCTCACGCAACGTCGAGGAGACTCGGCCGCGCCAAGCTTCGAATTTAGAGCGTCGCTCGCAAATTCTGTCTAGGAAGTAGTGATTTGGAACGAACCTGGAGGACGGCCAGCATTAGCCATTCCTTCCACCCTAGACTAACAATGAGTTTTAACCTCGCAGGGGAAGGGACAATGGTCAAGATCGACGACCGATATCCCATCCGTTTTTACGAGCCTCCTCTCCTGGTGCAACTATCCGTTGAGTAGTTAACCTGTCGATTAATCAAACGTTGCAATGGTGGATATCGATCTCGTCGCGTCGTTGCCCATAGAACCATAGATAGACGATCGACGGGGAGTATGTGAAAATTTCGAAATTGTTCGAATTGATTGATTGTAATCGGGGATGGGGAAACGAACGACGCTTCTCTATGCTTTCGATTTTTTGCTGAACAAACGTCGAGATCTTTATTTTGTCTGCTTTTCCATAATAAAACAGAGAGTATTTTCACGTGCATTCGTCGTCCTGGCAAATTGGATTTATCATGTTAATTATGTATATGAAAGGGGAAATAACGGTAATACGTGCTAATCGCGATAAATGAAGGAAGATGAGCGATTTTTCATAAGTTCGTTTAGAATTTGGCAATTCCAGTGTTACCAATAACCGTTCGAATTTATTAATGTAAAACAACAGGTTGCTCGGATGTTACGTGAATGGAGGAATAAACTTAAGCTCTCAAGCGTCTTTCTATACTTATATATTTGACAGATGTAAAGAGTACTGAATTCCATATTCCTGGAATAGGGAGCAAAAAATTTTCATAAAAAAAAAATCGATAAACAATTGTATCAAATTTGCCTTTTGCATTTCAAGTGTCCAAAAACCATTTTTACTTTTTTTTGGCATAAGTTCAGTAAATCATAATGACGCGCATAAACATTGTTTACCGTGTGCGCGTGCAAGCATCCGAATATACATGATGCATACATACGAATATAATTGTGCAAATTTGCTGTACACATGAAATACAAAATTATCGTTATTTATATTTAATTAAATAAAGACTTTTTAAGTTCATAATCTACTCCTCTCTCGCTCTCTCTCTCTCTCTCTCTCTCTCTCTCTCACTCTCATTTTTTAACGACAACATTAAACGCCAGCTATTTTTGCTTATTAAACGAACGCGAGTGAATAAATGTGTGCCAAACAATGAATTACTTGATATTAAATGTTTAAAAATAACTCGAGACATCTAATATAATTCGATAGAAAATATTGCGCGCACATCATTAAGGTTAAAAAACATATTCCAGATAAATGTTTGAAAATTATTTGAACTTGAAAATTGAAGAATTTGTTAATACTCATTAGTCACTTTAGTAAGGGTAAGAACAACAATAGAAAACATATTTCAAGTACTTTTATTTTTCATCTTTCCATCAATTTCATTATTTTTATTTATTTATATATTTATTTTGTTTGTATTTTCAAAAGCACTTTCAAATAAATTGTGTATAAATATATATATATATATATATATATATATATATATATATAGAGAGAGAGAGAGAGAGAGAGAGAGATTAGCACTACATAAGGAATATACTATTATTCCACTGAGAGCTAATTTATAAGGTAGAAACGATACGTTTTCCAGTAAAAGTCCAATATTTAATGAAGTCGTAACGAGTCTCTGCACAATAAACGACATGCTGATTTAATTTGAACTGACAATAAAATTAATTCAACGAATCGTGGATAATCGTAATTTATGATGATAATTTGAAAGAATATTTTCAGAGAAACGTATTCAGGGTCACATGGAATGAGAGTGATTTTTCAAAATAGCTTTTGTCTTTCTAATAAACGTGTTTTGCTCATAAAATTATGGAAAACGTGAAAATGTATTTTCAATTTCATATTAAATTTCATATTTCATATTGAAAGCTGTAATTACTATATATGTATATGTTGGAAGTAATAAAACAGTCTAATAATGTACCTGCCTTACCCACGAAATACTCATTTATTTTCGTAATAAGGCGCACGCGCTTCACGTACCTAACGTGCAATGAAAAGTATTAAAAGTGAAAATTGATAAATCTATGCTAACGTTTGGATTAAAATTTTCGATTTATTCTCATAAATGCCAATATGTGGGGTGAGAGAGAGAGAGAGAGAGAGAGAGAGAGACGCGTCAATCATACCGTATATTTCATTCTGAAACGTACTAATTTACTTTTGTCTGTCCCTTTGCTTTTACCTCTCAACGTCGCAAGACAAAGTAACGGTGCCGCGAGCTTAAAAAAACTTGCCATTCCGCTTTCATAATTATTTATAATTCCGCTGAATATTAACAAACGATAAATGCGAAGCTTTTGGCTCGATTGTGTAAGGCGCGGGCGACTTGAACGATTAATATATTGGATTTAATCACCTGGCGCAACGTCCTTTTGGCAAGTCCTACACAGCCGAGTCATTCATACGAAATATCTTATTTTCAACTTTGTTTGGCGTCATAACGCGAATTACCTGGACGAAGTCTCGTCTTGAGCTTCGGCCACCATGGTGCCGCGGAGCTTCCAAGTGACCTTTCTTCCTTCTCCACTCCTCCACTCGCCACTCATCCGCTCTCGCGTCCCGTGTCTTTCTATGAGCTCGAGGATCAAAATTGTCGCTTCGCCATTAATTAGGAGGGAATAAAGGAAGCGATCGAGCCAGAACAGCTCAACGAATATATAAACGGAAGTGGCCGAGCGGGAAGACGAAGCCGTTAAGGAAGACTTAACAACTCGCAACTATGTCGGCGCGTTCTTATTGTTTTTGACAAATTCTTCTTGTCTTTACATTATTCGCGGCTTATTCATCGCTCGCGACCGTGCGCGTGCACACACTCAACATAGGTCGAAAATTTTTAAAGTTCGCGATACTATCCCCCCCCCCCCTATCTCTCTCTCCTCTCCTCACCTCTACCCCGCGGCTCTTGTTGCGCAATAATTATCTACAGCGAGCTCGTTTAATTTATTTCGATTTCGATTTCGATTTCGATCTCTGGCCGAACATCGAGCGATCTACCTAATTTTATCGCGAATCTTATCGTATTATAATAAAACATTCACCTATATTGTTTATATAGCCCCAGTCAATGTGACGCAATAACGTTCGTTAATAAGTAGTAATACAACGCAATACTACGTAACGTGAAGTAGTAGCAGCAGCAGCAGCAGCAGCAGCAGCAGCAGCAGCAGCACTTGAACATCGTTTGTAATTAAAAGGAAACGAGCATAATAAGGAAAAGGAAAAATGAGATGGTCCTGCTCGTCGCGAATGCATAAAACATTATATTTTACGTAATGTGACACCTATCATCATAGTAGGGATGTAGCGCGTTCGTGAAATAGTAAGTGGTGGTGGGAGAAATAAAGAAATAAAGAACAAAAAATAAAGATGCGAAGAACAAAAAAACAACAACAAAAAAGTCAGGTTTTCTCAGTGTAGGCCCTGTTTAGTTCAAGCATCGGATTAACGATAAATAAACCCACATAACTTTACTTTGATCAACACACACGCGCCTGCCCGCAAAGATCAGCCGGAGCTTCCCCTCTCTATAATGCGAGCAACGGCGGTGAGGTAACAGCCGTTAAGCTGCGGCACTCTCTGCCCGAGATCCAGGGACCTTCCTCAGAGCGTATAAAAGAGTCATCAGAGACCCAGATTGTGGCTCCGCGGTGGTTCATGAGAAAACCTTGACAATCCGATGATCGTCGTGGTGTCTTTATATATGCTCGACGACGGCGCTTTGCCACTTGCGGGATTGCTCGATAGTTGGCCGACTAGGACACCGACCGCGCGACAATCGCCGTTTCGTTTCATTTCGTTATTTTATCGCTCTGTTGTTATTCCCGATCTAGCACCAACTTTTCGCTAATTATTACGTAAAGTCCCTCCCAAAACCCAAATCCCCACCCCCGCCCCTCCAGCCGCACTCACTCCCTCTCACTCCTTTCTTCCTTTTCTTCTGAAAAGTCTTAAGTAAATAGGCATGTGTTACGACATACACATGCACATTGGTTCTTGCACTCGAGCTTCTCCTTACCGTTGATCGGTATTCGAACGAATAGTCTCGAGCGGTCCTTTTTCGCTTTAAAAAATATTTGTTAAACGTTGCAAGACAATGGCCAATTTATGGCAAAATGACTATTCTAATGGATAGAGAAGACGACGAGACACAACTGTCTCAATCACTACGAAGCCAATATACTCGATAAAAGAAATCATGGGTTAATGTTTTTTTTCTACTTTTTTTTTTTTTTTCATTCTTTTTTTTTCCTTCATATAGAATATTCATTATCGAGCAGCGGGAGACCGATGCTCGCAAGCGCGCAAATCTTGGATTTTCGATTAAATTTCATCGTCAAAGCTAACCTAAAATTTCAATGTGCCACATGAGGCTACTATCGTCATCGGCATCCTACATGTCGTCTATCGTGATCTTTCACGTATTAAAAGCATTAATGTTGAAATAATACCACATACGATGCCGCCTAAATATAATAAATACAAGATAGAAAATTATAATTCTATGGTATTTGATGGTGGTGTGGGCTTGCGCCATATGCGCGCTATTTCCAAATAACAATTATAACCTTTATAATGCCGCGGTTCCCAACCATCGACTATAATCACAAGTAAAATATACAAATTTTATTTGCATCCAAATACACCTTACGTATGCGAAAGTTTAGTTGCCATGTAGTTGTTTGCCATTATTCGTGTACGCGAGAAAGGCAAAAGTTCGTAGTGTTGCCGTTAGCCGACCAAATATTCCAAGATTTATCAAAGCACATGTTGACACGGTGCATTGCCACTTTTATAACGAACTTGCTCGGTTTTGTAATTGAAATTGTAATATTTCCCTTTAGATACGAGGGAATCGTTAGTTTATTCATTATGGCATTCCAAGTCAATCTATTCTTGGATAATTCATGTGTATTCATTTGAAATTGCAATTAATATTTAATTTTCAGATTAATTTCTCTCAGCATATGCTGTGTAAATTTGTTGGCATAATGTTGAGACGCAATTTTGTTTGCCGTCTGATCGTCGCGCTTGAGATTACCGAATGTTTGAGTAGAAAAAACTTTTTTCGATGCAATCTGCAAATTTTTTGGATATATGAATATGTAAATAGCGACACTTGGTGCTTCAAGTCGAGCGAGTAGCTTCGATTAAAATTCAAAGTTAAATAAAATCGGATCACCGTTTAATATTATACGGACAAAATTATGAAATATCCTATCAATCACGTTAATTTATTATCGTGCTTTTTCTATTTGTCTTTCTTTTCACGCATAATTATAATTGCATAATACTCACATACCATCGTCTTGGAGTAGATTCATTAAAGAATTCGTAAGAATCCTCGTTACAATTCATCGAAAATTCTAAATTATAAATTATTTGCAAAATTCAACATATTTTCGTGCCATTTTATAATTTTAGGAGACTTAATGTTTTTGAAAATGCCAATATAATCGAAGATAAAATCAAAGTAACCTTGAAGCCTATCTCGCTCAATGTTCAATCTATAAAAATATAATTTCGGATATTTATGACAATTGTCGGAGGTATAATTGACAGCGAAATTAATAATAATAATAATAATTAGAATAATAATGACGACGAGGACGACCGCGACCACAACGACGATCCTCGATAATAATCTAAGAAATATCTTATCCATGGCTTGAGAGTATTCGCGGGAGATTTTAAACGCTTATGGCAATTATAGAAGACGTGCGCGAGCATGGCGTCAAAAGTAGCCTGTTGCGAGTGTACGTGAGAGGCCTAATTATTCTAATATTCTGGCCACGTCGCCTTTCATCCCAACTCCATCAATAACAATAACGAGCGGTTTACACATTCGGGTTATTGGCTAAGTTAACGAGCGGCAGACAATTGCGAATGACATTGGATGTAAAGTTGGCCGAGAGATATTGTTGTGCGAAGAATCAAAATGGCGCGCGCGCGCACTCGAATACTCGAATTTCGACTCTCGTAGTCGCGCGTCGGTTGTTCCCTCCGGGTGCGCGCACGCACAGTTACAGAGAGGGAGGGAGCGAGCGAGAGGGACGGAGTGATGACCGTCTACGAGAGAGGGCTGTGGTGGTGGTGCGTCGTGTGACCGTATAGGCGCCTCAGGCACGGGCCGCTGTCCTTCCACACCGTAATTCCTACGGAGTTGGAGTTCGAGTTGCGCGTCTGCGAGTTTATTGGGCATCGGCGTGTCGTTGGAGCGGCGCGCGTGGGGAGAAAAGGAGAGGAGGCGGCCGTGGCGGTGCGAGCGAGACTTCCGTTCCAAAACCAAGGCGACGAACCCATGTGGTGGCTCGTCGTCGCGTAGAATAAGAAGCTGAGCTGCCTGTCGTCGCTTAGAACGAGCTCTTGAAGAACGTAGGGGTAGGAGTAAAGGAGAAAAGAAGCGCTCTTCGACAAGAGCCGAAGGAGTCACCGGGGAACAGCGGCGCTCGTCGTCGCGCTCTCTCCTCTCTCCGTTCACCGCTCACCACTCACCGCTCACCGCTCACCGCTCACCGCTCACCGCTCACCGCTCACCGCTCACCGCTCACCGCTCACCGCTCACCGCTCACCGCTCACCGCTCACCGCTCACCGCTCACCGCTCACCGCTCACCGCTCACCGCTCACCGCTCACCGCTCACCGCTCACCGCTCACCGCTCACCGCTCACCGCTCACCGCTCACCGCTCACCGCTCACCGCTCACCGCTCACCGCTCACCACTCACCACTCACCACTCACCACTCACCACTCACCACTTACCGCTCTCTATCTCGTAAGTTTGTGCTTGCGCGCGCTCGCATCTCCGTCCGCTCGTACATCTGCGGTGCGTGCCGTCGCCGCAGCTCGCGACCCCGTGCCCCTCGTGCACCACGAGTCGCTGCGACAGCCGAGATAGAGAGCGAGAGCGCGAGAAGGCGGTGGAGGAGGTGGTGGCGGTGGCGGAGGAAGAGGGGGAGGAGGAAGGGTCGCTCGTCGTCACCGCAGGAGGCCGACGAGCTGCCGCCGCTTCGCGGTCCTTGTGCGTTATTTAGCGAGGGAAACGGCTAGTCGAAATCGACGTCGAGCTCGGTATGGCAGACCTCGACGACTTCTTCGCGAAGAAGGATCGCAAGAAAGCGAAGGGTAAGAAGTTCACGACCACCGATGAGATAGCCAAGAAGCTCGAGGAAACGGGTAAGAAGTTGGACAAGGCCAAGCAGAAGGAGAAGTCCCAGAACTCGGAGGGCGGCGACGACAATCAGCAAATCGAGGTGAGCACCGCGCCTACGAGATTCATCGACGGGCACGCGGGGCCTTCCCCTTCTTTAACCATTTCTCATCGTTATTTTTCACGTGAAAAGTATGCCGCTGCCATGTTTGCTTGCATGCGTGTAAACGTCACTCCGACCTCCCCTTTCTCTCTTGCGATCCATCTCTTGGCCTCGTCTCTTTCGTCTCTCTCTCTCTCTCTCTCTCTCTCTCAATCTCTCTCTCTCTCTCTCTCTCTCTTGGCCTCGTCTTTCTCGTCCTCTTCTCTCACTCACTCTCTCCGTCTCTCTGTCTCGCCCCCTCGGCCCCCACCTCACCTCACGCGATTTATCTACCGTATCCTTACTATATCCAGACATGATTGTCCGAATAAATTGAAAGAGTAAGGATCATCGTATGTCGAGCGACCACTCCGCCGAGGGAGTAGTGCACGTAGATCCAATGCGAGGGAAGCAGCTCGAGAAAGCCGGGGACTTATGTAATCGGGCAAGAATGTTTCGGTCTCGGAGGCACGTTTGCGGAATGGCAGCTGTTACGTGAAATGCACGTTTTGGACGACGAATGGCCAGCATGAAATTATCGTTTGTTTATGTTTGGGGCTTTTCAGGAGGAGGATGAGTGGAAGGTCTTCGAGGAGGAGAAGAAGGATTACACCGGATTGAAAATTGGAAATCTGACTATGAACGAAGTCGTTGATACGGATGTGGAAGATGATAAAGTTATGGGGGAGAAGAACTCGGATGGGGAGTACACCGAGCACTTCAATAAGAACAGCGGCGGCCCTTGGAAGAAGGCGGATGCGCAGGTGGCAGAGCCAGAGGCACCACAGCCGGAAGTCGAACAGCCCCAGGCTGTACCAGAGGTGGCGGCAGCCGCTCCAAAGAAAAGTTATAAGCCACCGGCTCTAAGGAATCCGCAATTTAATGTGGAACGATCAATGTCTTCCGGTCGCCCGAGAGGCAAAAATATTGCTCCAGACATTAATAGCGAGGAATACTTCCCAACCTTAAATTCGAAGCAATCGGTATCAAATGACACTGGTGGAGCATGGGGTCGAAAGTAAGTAGTCTTTATTGAAATGGATAATAATAGTTCGTTTGAAAATTAAACTCTGTTAATATTTCATTTTTTCAGCATTGTATGTAATGTAAGTCAATAATTTATACATTTTTACAATCAATTTATTCTTATTTTATTTTATCCTATTTATTTTTTTCTTCTTTTTTTTTTCCATTATTTTTTTTATTTTTTTATTTTTTTTTTTTTTTTCTTATACATTTCTTTTATCTTTTCATTATTTTTTTAACATCGAATTCTCTCTCTAATTACCCTAGTCGGTCAATGTGCTCTCAATAATATTGAAATTGTATTTCCTTACACGAGGATTAATTATAGATTCGCTTTATGCAAATTTAGTTAAACTGCTTTGGAAATCATAGCTTTGATGTGGTTTTTTATTCGTAATTTCTTATCAAGGGGCGATAGTTAACCGTACCTATTATAATCGTTTAGTTAATGGTAGTTTTATTTTATTTTGAACGATACCGATGCGATCAAATCAAATCGTTTAATCTGAACTTTCTAAATAAACGGATCGATAGTCATTCTTATTACTTAAAGTATTTGAGCACAAATTGTAGTTTGTCGATAAAATAAAATTAGTAATTGGACAAATTTTGTTTTTTGTTTTTCTCATAAAATCATCTTAAATTTTTATATTATTTGCAAAATTTATCCTCCTATTTAAATTCTATCTCCTTTCAGAAAACGAGATGAAGGAAATTTTGAAGAAGTACGTAATCGAGGAGGAAGCAGAACATACGGTGCACCCGAAGTTCAATCTCAAGCTCCCAAACTGTCGTTAGGAAATAAATATGGTGCGCTACCTCAAGATCAAAGCTGAAAACGACAAATTTTCTTCTGTCGACGATTATTAAACATATACGTTACCACCTCGCTCCGTTTCGTGGCCCAGTTGCGCCATAAAACAAATTTTATAGGCTAATAATGCATACTACTGTTTGTGCATACGTATTTATTATTTACCACTTTTCGTTTTAAACGTTCGTTGTTTAATCGTTATCTATGGTTTTTTAAGTTTTTGGAATTGGTAAAAAAAAAAAATTGTATTTAATATGGTAGTATTATTGAAAGCCGCAATAATATGACGTGACTTTCGAAATAAGGTAGACAAAAAAAAAAAAAAAAAAAAAACATAATAATAAAATGAATCTGTTTTTGTTTATAAATTATTGTACACAAGATTAATATCGCTGAAGCAGCATGGCTGCATCTATCACTGAAAACAAATCTTAAGATAATTATAAAATACACCTAAAAATGATGATGATGATGATGATGATGATTATTATGATTATTATCATTATTGTTATTATAACATTTAGGGAATAGTGACATTCCGGGGCTGGGCTTCGGAACGGTGCCGTAAGCGCGAACAGTGTGCAAGTCAAAAGAAAAGAAATTGAGTAAAACTATTTCAAGGAAGAAGCTGAAGAACTATTGACGAATATTACAAAAGGACGATTTTGCGAAAATAAATGCGTGTATGCTTTTGTTGATGCTTATTTAATTATGTTTGTTAGGTTAGAGTTCTTTTCTTTTTTTTTTTTGCTTTTCATTTTTTCTTTTTAAATACCGTAAACAAAATTGATCGAAGAGGAAGGATGATACGGAAGAGAAGAGACTAATGAAAAATGAGATTTGTCTTTGTTATTATGAAATTATCAAAGTACTAAAAGAAAGGCTATTGATTTGAGAAATGGAATGATTTTTTTTTTTTTTGTAAAACATCGAAAGTTGTGATTATTTATCAAGAATTCCCGTAGGAAGCTTATTTGAAAATTGCCTAAAGAGCATTTCAATGTTTTAAAGATTGTGTGTACGGTGCCTCCTTAGGACTCAAGGACTATATAAAGTTAAATGAAATTGACGAGAAAAAGAAAAAGTAAACTATTTACAATGTCAAGTGTGCAGTGAATATGTGCGATTGTACTTGTTTCAAATTTTAAAATGATCAATTGCTGTACATTTACTTGTGAACGGGGTTTTTAATTTTTTTTTTTTTTTTTTTTTATTTTTTTTATTTTATTTTTTGCTCAATTCTATATAACTTCAATATTACGTTAATGTTATTCAATGAAGAAGAGCCAGAACACATTCTCGTTTTTTTATTGACTAGACAATGCATTCGTCATATGTATTCCTTAGTGAATGTTTTAGAAATTATTTTTTTTTTTTTTTTTTTTTCCCGATTCCTTCCTCAATCCGTTATCACACTCTGTAACGTATTTACATGATTTTGTGATTACCAAGCTATCAAGTTGCTCTTTAAACAACAATAGAGATTATTAGAAGAAAAAAAAGATTTATCTGTTGAAAAGGAATGTGTTTTTTTTGTATTTTTTTTTTTTTTTTTTTTTTTTTTTTTTTTTTTTTTTTTTTTTTTTTTTTGTTTGTTTAATATAACAACAGCGAACGAAGTTCATAATTTTAGCGCCATTGAAGCTGGAGAGGAGGAATATAACACGAATAAAGTAAAGAAACATTGTTAAAGTGTAAATGATAAATCTAAAAAAAAAGTATGCGTTTTGTGAATCGTAAGTGGTACATACGACAACAGTTCAAGATCTTACTACTAATAAAAAAAAAAAAAAAAAAAAAAAAAAAAAAAAAACGACATAAAACAAATATCAATATTTTGAAAACTTTTATTATCTATTTACAACCCAATAGTATATAATATATAAATATATAACTGTAGTTTGCCTTATAATTTGAGATGTTATAGTACATCCTCAGGCTTTGCCCACTCGTGATTACTGAAATTAAAGAAGAAAAAGAACAAGTTAATGCTAGCATTGAGATTGACATGATAAAAGCTATTTATACTTTGATAAATTTAAAGAATGTTGATGGTTCTGATGACTTGTACGAACGTGTAGATAAATTTTCATGCGCTGCAATTATTAGATGATGTTACTTCTTCTCGATGATTGTAAGATGGATCTCGTAAATACCTTTCCTGATACTTTAATCCGTGGCTGCCTTCGCTGCTATACGATGAGTACATTGGAAGTTCCATTAAAGATTCGCGAAAATTTGCAAGAATGTAGATCCAGACTTTAGTCGCATCACCGATCTAAACAGATATACGAAACATTTATTCAATTGATACATTGAAATTTTTTTTTTTTGTTTTTTTTTTTTATTATTATTACCCGTGTACTAAGAGCATAAGTAACTAAATACGTAAATTATTATTGAATTATCGAAATAATAATTCATTATAAGTGTATTGGTGACCGCCTTTATTTTATTACCATTATAGTGAAAAATTTTCTTTACTTTATATTTTAATTTATCGACCTTTCATTACTCGCTATTTGTTATTTTAAATAAAAAATATATACTCCATATTATTACAAGTGAATTGATAAAATTTAATTTTCACATTAGCTAAATTGTTTTCTACCAAAATTTATGGTTCGTTTCTTAAACAATTATGAAATACTCATTGATATTTTTTGATCGAATACGTTATAAAAATATGTTATACGCAAGAAAGAAGTGCGACTGCACAAAGAAATTCATATCTCGATTACCGATTCTTTTTTCTTTTTCTTTTTCTTTTATCTATTCAAATTAAATCGATAAATAATCATCTGCGAAAACGCTCATTATAAGTATAAAATTAAAACAAAAATAAAACACGTAATTTTAATACAAAAAATAATGATCCCTTGTATTTGACATGATAATATATATAGAGAGAAACAGTAATATAATTTTTATTCGTTGATAAAGTATCAAATGAAAAGGGTGGCGTCGAATTTTCAAAGCCCCTGATTATGTCAAATCCATGTAAGATCATTGTTTGTATTTAATAATAATTGAAAACATTTTGTATGTATTTATATCGAGTCTGTAAACATTTTTCTTTTATAAATTTAATTTTATATTATTTTGAATATCTTGTGAATGAAAAATTTAAGAATAATATCGATTTTTAATCTACTTCTCATAAGTTCTCATGGCGTAACTCACGACTTAATTCGAAAATGAAATTAATTTTGACGATCGCTTTAACAATTAGCCCGTTAAGATATTAATAATTATTTATATACACTTTCGAAACTTTCTCCGCGTTTAATTTCACTTTCTGGCGCTAATAAGACATTATCTTCCGTTCGGACATAAAAATTTGGATGTTCTTCCAAATCGTCCAGTTTCTTCAGCATTTGCGAATCGACATCATAAACTTCACCAATGATTTGCTAAAAACATAAATATATTATGTCGATTAATTTTATTTGCAAACGTGTTTACTTTATTAAGGATATATTATAAATATTTTTGAAGATTTTTAAATATCCGTTTCGAATAAGCGTATTAATTACTTTTAACAAATAATTTATCGATTTAGGCAATTTGCTTATTTACGTTAATGATGTGATGTTGAGGGATATTTGGTAGGTCTTCGGAAAGCATAATTTAATTTTTCTTTTTTTTTTTAAATTAATATAAAAACGATATTGAAAATAAAATAAAAATCTATCCACAATAAATTTTATTGTTTGTTAAGCGCAGTATATAAAAAGATGCACGAGTATTGCGAATTAGCTAATATATATATATATATATATTAATAATATCTTAATTGTTTATATATATATCTATAAGATTTCGTAATTCAAAATGTAATTTACTTTTTTTTATCTAGCATAAACTCAATATAATATTTCGTTATAAAGTACGGCTTTATCCATTACTAACTTATTCAATAATATTTCACTATTAATGGTTCGTTAAAAGTAAGTTAAACAAATTGTATTATATTTAATTTAAAAAAATAATATTTTGTAATGAATACGGAACTTTCTTTCTCTCTCTCTCTCTCTCTCTCTTATATATAAATTTCTTTACCTTATAATAGAGTAATTAAATTAAAATTCTATGCAATCGATTTTTATAATTAATGTTATTTAATCAAGCTTGTATATGTCTAACAAAGTTTTATCGAATAAATATTCAATAGAACAGTTTTCAGAAATTGTTCAAATATAAAAAGATTATATGTACAATTCCTATATGAATTAGTTAAGAATGTTAAATTGTTGATGAATGCATTATCATTATAATTATTTATTAGGAATATATGATTTTATCGCGCTGATAATTACGCATAAAATAATAACAAAATTTAGTTTTTCAAATAAACTGAAGTATTATAAATATTGTATAAAAATCGAATATTTGCTGCAATGTTTTAATAAACGACTTAATTTCTTATTTGGGAAGGAATTCTTTGAAAACTTTAAATAATTTAAACTGGACACTTACGTTCCCAATTCCAGGCCTCTTCAAGGTGAACGGAATATTGTACCTCGTGGCTATAACTAAAGGATACTTACTTATTGTCTTTCCAAGTCCCAGAAATTTGGCATAACCATTCTCGACGTTAGTTATTAACTTGTGATTTGGTTCACCGCGTTTTAACGTCCCATATAGAAAAACCCTTTGCATGGGGCTTTTAAATAAACTTTCGTACATATTTGGAGAGCACCAGTTTCACAATTATTATCCAACCTCGAAGAATCTTAAGAAAATTTAATTATTAACTGTTGATACTGATGCGAACAATCTGGTTACGACTAAAGTCGACCGATGCGTAATTGCCAATTCGAATTTTATCGCCAATGTCCTTGGCGTTTAAAAAACAGGTGACTTTGATTATAATTAGGCCTTAAACGGAGATCATCAATATGATATCTTAAATAAGATAATAATTCTGCAACGACGTAGTGCTGTGATACATGCGGATTACACTTTGTATCTAACAAGCCACTTAACGTCAATGTGCCACACTGTTTTTTTTTTTCGTTTTTTTTTTTTCGTTTTTTTTTTCTTTTTTTTTTTCCAAGCAACGAAAGTCACGATCGTGTCGCTACTCTAAAATGTTATTTTACATCATACGTGGAATAGTGAAGTGAAAATGTCACGAAAATCAAAGTCGATCCAATTCGATCCTTCTTCTGATACAATGAACGCAGCAAGTATAAGTCTTTAACTAACAGAGCTATAAAAGATAGCGATTTAAGGAAATATATACGAGCATCAGCGGGGGAAGTGTGGTTATTGTCGCCAGAGGACGCAAGGAGCTAACATTTACGCGCAACATTTGCTTCAACGATTTTTCATTCGCAGCCGTTCGACTTTACGTGGATTATTCGCCATTTTCATTATCATCGCATTATCTTTTATTTAATTGCAATATTAAGCTACCACAAGACTCTTTAACTAAGACTAATGGTTCTTCTCAATTTCTTTCTACGTTTTACTATTGAATTTTACTCGGCTCTTTAATGGTCAAAGCGATGGCACTCGATCCTTACCATATTTGCAATTTCGTATTTCAATTAATCATAAGAATTTTACAAAATTTTCAAGCCGTTTTGCAATATTAAAGTCTACGGGACATATTACAGAGCCCTCGGACACTATAAAATTCACCATTACACAGCCATTATTCATATCAGCTCGATTACATTATTAATACATGTTGAAATACAAATTTTATAATGGATCTTTTAATCAAAGTATTTGCACTGTCACAATGGAAATGCTCGTTCAAATAATCACAGCATTGATTAATATTCGATTTATTCCATTCAAATGCCATTTAATTTGAATTCTTTTATTGTAAAATAGGCAAAATTAAACATTAATTTAAGAGCATTGAGAATTACGTTTTAAAACATTAATAGGCTTTTTGTTTGAAATTAATGTTAAAGCATAGTGAATTCATTCCGTTTATTGATTAAAAATCTCTTTACCTTATTATTGCGTACGAGAAGTAATGCTCAAGTATTACATTACATTAACATTTCAATCTTTATTGGTAATTATTAAAACATTAAAAATATAACTTACCACCCTATGATTCATTCAATGAAAAAAATTCAAAGACCTTTTAAATATACTTTGTTCGATAATGATTATTTTTATTATTAAAAATTTATTTCTTTGTCCATCCATAATAATATAAGTTTGAAATTACGTTCTATAATTTAATATTAGAGCAATGACTGTAAGTGCTTTATTACTAAATTTTTAAGTCATTCAAATACAGAAATTATTGACATTCTTAATAGTACTCGTTTGCACTATTTGCACTTTCATGATTGAATTGAGCTTCGCGCTTAATCTATATTTTTGCCATAAATTGCTTTGCTATTGTTCGCATAATTACAAAGTTTATTGACTAATGATAAAAATTGCACGATTGTTATTAAAAATGATGTTATATTTACAATAATGTCGTATTCGCCTAGAGAGAATGTTGTTATAATAAATTAAGAGTATTTCGAGATAAATTTTTGTAAATTTTATTCGTTGCAATAACATGTTAATCTTTGATTTTTATACATTTCTTACCGAATTTCAGATATAATTTATTAAAAACCTACGCAATTCCCATGTACATCATATAGTGCTTTCTCATAAATTTTAAAATAAACTGTCCTTCAATACATCCATAATCTTAACAACAGAAAGTTTAAAAAAATTTAAATACGAAATCCAAAACTTATTTATATGTCAATTAAACATAAATTAAGGTTTTGCGAAAAATTATAATAATACTCGGTGTATGCATTATAAGTAATACAATTTCAAGTCATTTTTGTGCTCCAACATAATATTTGATTCATCATAGTGTTCAACTTTTCAATCTTATCTAATTCATTATTAATAATATTTTTATATTTTTTTTAGAATACCGTTAAATTCTATATTCTTATGTATAAATTTCATTAAACAAAATCATTTTGCCTTTTGCTCAATATATTTAACGAATGTATGCAATGAAGATAAATAAATTGAGCAAAATGTTATTTAATAGATTTCTGTTGTTGTTGTTGTTGTTGTTGTTGTTGTTGTTGTTGTTTTTGTAATATGCATCGTTTAATATTATTTTTATTAAATGTATATATTGAAATTACTTCGTATGTATAAAAAAACAGGGTTTAGAAATAATTTTTTTTATTTAAATATACAATATTGTATGCAAAGAGTATTTCAAAATCCGTAGAGTAAATTCCTTGCAAATTTTATTTCATTTGTCTTTTGGTCACGTACAACGTCCATCTCATTAATTCCTTCTTTCGCGTTTGACCGTTAAAAGTCCTCTGTGTATATTATATAGTTGCAGTATTGGTTGGCTCGCGAAGTATATCTTATCACTTGGGATATATGTGTGTGCGTGCGCGCGCGCGCGCGCGTGTGTGTGCGTGCGTGTATTTTAACATTATGTTGAAACTGCTTTTCGTAAATGTTTAATCCTATTTTTAAACATTTGTTTCATAATTAGAAATTGTCGATTGAAAGGCGTCATAAGATATTGAATGAAAATAATAAGATATTATGCAAGAATGCAAAGTTAGAATATTAGAAAAAAATATTTTCCAATATAAGCAGAAACGCAATCAATAAGCATTTATAATCCGTAATAGAAGTAAGAGAAAGAAAATCATTCTATATTATGAGTAGACATGAGTAATTATCAGAAATTTTGGGTATTTTTTGTAAATTATTTGACTTATTATAAGTTTATTGATTAGTAATCGACAAAATAATGGACAAAATTTCATTTCGTTTGAAATAGGATTTTTCTTAAATAATTTTCCATTGAAAATATTCAATAATAAAGTCAAACGTGGTTGCGTGGTAGTAATTTTAATGTCAGCAATTTCAAAAGGGTATAAGGATAATAAATGTCATTCTGTTGAACGGACCTCAAATTCCTTATTAACTTAATCAATATAAAAGTATTTTATATATATATATATATTTTTTTTTTCTTTACATTAGCCATTTCTATTGCAAAGAGCCATTTCATACAAAAATTAAAATTTTTTTATATTACATCAATTAAGTGGTATATCAGGCAGTGCACGTAATTTTCTTTTTATTATTCAATAGAATTGTAAGCAATACAATTGACAAGCAGATTTGTTTGCATTGTTATTCTATTATTTTTGATATGCTCGTCAAATCAATTACCTGATGTGAGTATTAAGAGAAGTCAAATTTTAATTTATTTTCAATACGTTGTAAATGAATTAAGCAGAAAATCATGAATTTATGTAAGAATACGTGCACCAAATCCTTATAATTGAATTACTTACGGTAGTGTGAGTTATCTATTATTATTATTGTTACTATTATTATCGATTATATCGTATTACATTATTTATTTATAACGAATTATAATGATTATAATATCTTATGATTAATGACAAATATAATGTAATATATACTATTTATAATGAATTGGAGCAATAGTAGGTATTGAAAACGAGGAAATTGCTCTTCCGTTCGATGAAATGAAAAGTGATAAGTGATAGATCGACTTGTTACTACTCTTAATGACTATAATGTGAGTTGTGCTTAAAAAATAAAAAAAAAAAAATAAAAATAAAAAAAAGAAGACAAACTCGTTAACGAAAGTCGCAAAAATCATTAGTAAATATTAATTTGTACGTCCTTATCGACGATGCTTATAGATTTGATCACGATAAAACTCGATCGTAATATGCACAAGAGTCCAAAGTGCCTGGCATATGAAAATCTTGGTCGTTGCAGGCAATACGACAGTCAAAAGTGCGTTGTTAAGTGACGGATGAAACGAATGTAGCGTGGAAGGAGAGTATGACAGGACCCGCCAGATACAGGCACAGACACATGAAAAAGCGAATGAAAAATCAGGTCGAGGCATGCGTATCCAGCAGTGCTTTGTCGGCCCATCGAACGCATTTTTCCATTCGGGCGCAGTACGTTCACCCCGGAAAATCCGGCGCCTTTGTGCTCGACATTTATATTATGGGATAAGAGATGCCGTGCGCTAAGCGTGAACGAACTTGCGCTCGCTGACTAATCTCATCAACGCTGCTGCTATTGATTTTTTCTATGGGTGGACTTTTTCCTGCCCACGGGCATTTCCATGGCTCGGCAGCTCGTTGAGCCGAGAGCATGCCGCGGCTCACCCTCTCCCTCGAACAAATAAAATCCGAGGCTTAGAATTTCGCCCGCCTCCTTCATATGATTATTAGATTTTTTTTTTATATTTATTTATTAGTGCATTAACGAGTATTTTCGTATGGGCGCGCGCACCCACGATCACTTATACGGGGAGATAAGGCGCCATGGGTCTTGGCAAGATAATGTCGAGTTTAATTTTTTTTTTATGCTTAAAAATTAATGACTAGCACATGGCGCGAGGCTTTTAGGCCGTTATTTTATTTTTTTTTTTTTAATTTTTTTTTTGTTTTGTTTTTTGTCTTTGTTTTTTGTTTTTGTTTTTTTCAAAGAACCCGGCCACTGGAATATATTACGAAGTTTATTAAGCCGCTGATGGCCGTGCACTCGGCGGGGTGTTGTTATGCCAAACGATTGAATCACAAACATACACAGGCGCACGCGCACACACACGCACGTGCATCTGGGAGCCATCGCGTCCTTTCATTCGGCAATCGAATCGACGAACCAGCTGATTTAAGCGATTTTCCTTAAATCTATTGGACGCAGAGCGGATAATTATTTATAGAAGAAGCCCGAGAACGTTTTTTCTCGTTGGTAATGAACGGAGGAAGAGTGCGGTAGTAGGGAGTAAAACATAAGCTAATTAATAAAAACACGGCGAATGAGAATGAAGTATGCGACTTTCGAGTCCTACGAGCAACCTACGAGCAACCTACGAGCAACCTACGAGCAACCTACGAGCTGCATTAACAATTTAATTCAATGTGTCTTATCCATTGCTCCAAATACCACCATTGGTCGGCGATAAAAATATTGTTAATGGCGAACGGCAAGTCAACGATAAGAGCCTATCATCTGGTTTAAATATAATTGCGCCCTGAAGAATAACGCGCTTTACAGCCTTGGGGCTACATAGTCGCGTACAAGCTGGGAGCGTTGTAAATTAAAGTTCGAGTAAAATCGGTGGAGTCGAGTCGGTAGGGCGGGTAGCCCCGCAGCTACGTCTCCCGGACTATTATAGCTCGAAATACCGAGCGGATCGTTGATACGGGAGGTATCGCTAACGCCCACAGGTTCGCAAAGTCCGGCTTTCGAAATAGCGCATTTAGCGAGTCCATGGGCCAGGGGTCCGCCTCTAAATCACTCATCGCTGTCATTTATCTCGTGTCGGATGCGTTGTCGCGCTCTGGCCGAATTTGCGCGCGCGGAAGCTTCCGACCGGGATTCGGAGACCGCCGCCACCGTCGCCTAATGAAAAAGCGAGGGAGGAAAAGTCGCAAGCGCCTCGCGGCGGCGGCGTCCAGCGCCTTCTCTCAGTTCGGATCGACGCGTCGCCGACGTCGGAGGTGTGCGTCTCTCCACCTTCGTGCCGAGCAGTGACACCGCGTGTGAGTCCATGGAAGCCGAGGTCCATCGACTATCCCCGGTACGTCTCTCTCACTCTCTCTCTCTCTCTCTCTCTCTCTCTCTCTCTCTCTCTCTATATATATATATATATATATATATATATATATATATATATATATATATGTCTTTATCTCTCGGCCTTTCTCACAGTTCGTGCGTTCCTCTGCACTCGGCGAGCCCTGCCCTTGAGATTTGCGCGGCGACCCCTTCCCCCGAAAAAGTTAGATCCACTCTACCCCCTTCCACCTTATGTAATCGACACCCCGTTGTCTCTCTCTCTCTCTCTCTCCCTTGAGGACGAGCGCGACCGATGACTTGGAACGACACTCCAAGGGTTGTTTCCGCTAGTGGGGCTTCGTAAATGACTGACTGGGTGGGACTTGGACGTGGTGCCGCATGATCCTTGGTAAACACGGGCAGGACGAATGATAGTGGTGGAGTGAGAAGACGAAATAAGCGAAAACCCGTAAAAATCCGCTACGGCGACGGCAATAGAGACACTGGGTCCCTTTGTACAGGGCGAGGCGGCACCGCGGCAGCCGGAAAACTACTTTTCGGCGTATAATTATAAATACGACGCTAGCGGATACGCGGAAACGCGGCAATTAGCGCAAACGAGAAAAAGTGCAGTTGACGATCCGTTTTGTAATTGGAAGTGGCGGGCGCGCGTAAATAAGATTTGCCGAGGATCCAGCGAATGCTCCGCTCACGGGTTGGATCACTTTGTTTGTAACTTATTATTTAACTAATTATTAAACGGTACTCGCTGACATTGCGTATGCGGCGATATAAGTTGCCGAGTGTAGCCTCATGCCGCATATTAAGATACAACTTTATTTTTCTTTCTTTTCGAGCATCAAAATCATTAATCGAATTTTTGCCGGTAGAGACCGACTTGTGAAATATGTGCGAGTTTCACACAATTACCTGTGCTCTCCATGTATATATATATATATATATATATATATATATATATATCGTGCATGGTGTGATGAAATGTATATTCGACTATTTTAAAATGCCCAATATTATTAATAGGGATCCGTTACGTAATACTATTTTCGTTTATTTATTGCATGGGATCCTCCTTCCAATAATAATCATTGCCAAATTAGTGGACCAAATGTTGATAATAAAATTTTCATCCGAAAGGTAATAATTGTCTTAACCAGCTGAATTAAATACAGCTAGGATTCGTTGAAAATCCATGGATTTTTGTTGTTATACTACCCCATAGTTCTAAAATTTCATTGAACAGATCGACGTACTTTCAACCGCTTAAAATAAAGTATTTAAAAGATTTACCCGATAACGGTTTTAGCTATTTAGTTGAGATGCACTAGTTTGAATAAATTTGAAGTATCATCGTAAAACCATTAAAACATGGAGAGGAAGCACGAGAGATTCTAAATAGTTAACCGCATGATGTATCCTGCTATTACACAAAATTAACATTCTTACTCGACTCAGTACATAAATAAAATAATCACGAGTATCGGCCGTTATGGAATTTATTATTAAAAGCGTAAATGATCGTGTTATTGTTGATATTTTGCAGTATATAAAACATGTCGTAGAATTCAATGGAAATCATAGTTTTAAATAATTTTGTTTAATTTGTTTCATCTCCATCCACCTCCCCTCGCCATTTATAAATAATAACTTTTTTTTTTCATTATGAGAATGTTAAAGTTAATTCATTTAAAATAATCAAACATTGATATATGTATAAGATAATAAATCGACGTTTAAAAAAATAATACTGACTATTAGAGTTTATTTTTCATTTTATAGTATCCTTTAACTATGGATAATTTAAATATTCCTTACGTACAGTACGTAAGCGGGTAAAACGTTATCCGTTTTCAAAAATTGGTTAAACATACGTATACTGCGCAAATATCCAATGTATGTGCAGAATTGGATATTAAATATCTCAAGAGGAATAAATAACTAAACGTACGGGGTAATTGAGAAAACTTACGAAAAAGAGAAAGAAAATCTATAGCCGTTGATGGGTTCATTTTTTTTACGCGTAACCGTTACTTAATCGTACTGTTATAAAGAAAAAGTTCCAAATCTCCTTCCACTCCTTCACTCTTTTAATTCGACTGTCGATTTTACTTGTTCTTACTGCATTATCATGTTTATATTATAATTATACATTAGTTCTAAGAATATTTGAAGCGGAAAATATTTGCAAAGTTGCATATTGATAAGCAATATGCAAAAAGTTCGATAAACGCTCTCTTGATATTTCGTGATATTGGCTTATACACGAGATACATTTTAAACAGGCGTCGGCAACATTAACTATTAAATAGATAAATATTAATACAACTATATAGAATATATATAAATATTAATACAACGATATAGAAAAACCAACTTCTCCGTAGCTCGTTTAATAAGCTAAATACTATATTGGGAATGTTTAGACAAAGATGAGAGAGCGTGAGGCAGAATTCCGTCTGTTGACCTTCGTCAATGTAATTTCCTTCATAGCCTTAATTCTTTTTTTCTTTTGTTTGTTTTGTTTTGTTTTTTGTTTTGTTTTTTGTTTTTTTCAAGCGAATTCTCACAAACGGTCGACAACCGTTTCGAAAAGACTGAACTTTCGTTTATTCAATCAGAACTTTTTATCACCCCCAGCTTTTCATTAAGAGACCTTATTTGTCAAAGAAGCGAAATTATTAAGTTCTCTGGAATATTTATTTGGCCGAGTTGTCGTAAAGTATTTGCCGTAATTGACTAAATTGCACCTTGGAGAGAGAGAGAGAGAGAGAGGGAGAGAGAGAGAGAGAGAGAGAGAGAGAGAGAGAGAGTACGCGCACTTGTGTGATAAAAGCAATATCCACGTATTATGGTTTTCAATCACATTTCTTCTTCCCTTTGCACTCTCGAAAATGATAATCACAACGATAAACATAACGATTATTATATTCTCGTGAATTGCGATTAAAAAAAAAAAACAAAAAAAACATTGCAGTTCGAACGCTGTTGAGATGTTTATTACATTTACCGTTCGATTTTCTCACAGCTTGCGTTTCTTCTTTTTCTTGTCTGTCCTTTTCACAAACTTTCACTACGAATGTACAGATTAATAAAGCCACTTTGTGCAAATTCATTTAAAATAAATCGCTAGTTCTCATACGTCGTAAACTCGATTTTCACTTGTCTTTGGACAATGACATAAACACATTATTATTATTATCATTGCTATTGCGATTTAAACATTATACTTATCCTTGTTATTAATTTATAAATTTTATACCATCCGACATTGCTTATGCTTCATAATTAATTTTTTTCTTTTTTTTTCTTTCAATACCTCCCCATATGCCATACCAATATCGTATTTACGTATATCTTGCTCGTACAGCAGTTGGAACCGATGAGTGATAATTTTAAAATCGATGTACTTTCACTTGGAGGGGCAAGTGGCCAATCATCACTCTCTATCACCTATTAACACGCGCTTAGCAGGGAGGAACGCGAGATGACACTCTTGTTGCGTAAGCTCCCCCGATGAAGCGTCGGATGGTCGTGACAAGGAGGTGTCGTTATCCGTAGATTTTCGCTTCCGCGGTGTCATGGGGTGAGATTGATAGAAGTAGGATAGATGTGGATTCGAATGGGTGAAGGAGACGGCGCGATGTCGAGGCGATAACCACGAAGGACTTGCACGGGAGGGGTGTATAGGATCGACCTAGGCCGGCCGAAGCAATTAACTACGGCGTGTAATATTGCCCTGACTTTGTGCGGTTGACGATCCTCTAAATGCCAGGTAAGTTAAAGCCCTCCGCACCCTCGCATCGCCTGACATCATCCCACGTACTTTTAATCGTATAGCTCTTACGCGTTAGAAGCTTCCTCCGTGGTTGGCTGTGACCGTGACGATTAGAATTTCGCGACGACACAGCAATCATCTTTTCGCTCTTCTCGCCTAACACTAATCTAGCAAAGTAATTTCTTCAAAATACCGATGAATAATAAATCGCTTTTCCCTGCGATCATTCTTCGATCGAGTGCAAATCTCCGTTATGCAAATACATCGTATTTATATCGTCATATTAATATTGTGCGAGATTGGAGTGCAGTTAGAATTGTTGATTAGATTGCTGTAAGACTTGGTTGGAGTTGGGTCGACATGCGCGCGCGCGCTCGTCCGTGGGACGGGATAGCGTGTGATAGGAGGAGACGGGAAGTAAAAACGAAGAGAAGTCGAATGAAGAAGCCGAGCGAGCGTGGGGACTCGTCTCATCTCGATAACCGGTGACTTTTGGTCTTCGCCGCCGCAATTGCGCGTTGCCATCATTTTCGCAAAAATGCCGCTGTTAGTGCGAAAGCGAGGGGAGGGGGGGGGGGGGAGGGTAAGGTTAGTTCGCGTGCAGAGGAGACGTTGCCGATCAACGTAGCTGATCGCTCGACAAGCCCAATGCCTCCTTTCATATACGCACAGAGTGCAGTGATTTTTAATGACAGTGATGTATTCACAGTTGACGGAATCTGCCATTTCTCACTGCTGCAGTGTAACGTGAGATTTTTTTATTACTTGATCGAGACTGATAAACTTGCTTCCACGCCATGTAGTGTACTGCATAAGTCAGCAAATACTTATGGCTTGATATTTAATTTATTATTGGTAGTTTTAAATATTAATTTCAATAATGGCATTTAGTTTTATTAATGTCAATATTGTAGGGATTCGATATGAACGAAGAATGTCACACCATCGATAATTAATATGAAAATTTGTAATTTTAATACTTTCAAATTTCAATGTTCATAGGATATTGAATATTTAATTGCTTGAAAATCTAAATATTGCACACGGATAATTAATATGAATCACAAGTAAGTTATTTAATCGTATAATATACAACATAATCGTCAGAATTTAATTAATTTAAGCCAAACTCAATCATTTTCATTAAAAATTTCGTCAGATTCCGTAAATTTAAATTAAACACACATACGCGCACACGCGCGCGCGCGCGCATACTTGTTTTATCATCT